AGAGCCTTCAGTTTTCAGGCCCCTCTTCTGTGGAACCAGCTTCCAGTTTGGATTCAGGAGACAGACACTATCTCTACTTTTAAGATTCAAACTTCCCTTTTTGCTAAAGCATATAGTTAGGGCTGAATCCTGTCTCCTCCCCCTCCCTGATTCTGGCTCTGTTGGACGTCTCTTCCTGTGCAAAGCTGGTTCTTCCTTCTCACTGTCACCGTGTGCTGCCCACAGGGGATTGTATGATTTTGGGGGTTTTTCTGTAAAGCACCTTGTTGTTTCCTGACACAGTGAGATCATAGAAAAATGTTCAGACCGAACAGTATCTGAACCTCTGTGTGTGTGATAATAACAGTGTGAGTGTATTAACTGTAAGAAATGTCAAACTGAAGATCAAATTTCAACTTTGAAGCCAAAGTTTGTCCCCCAGCAGGACTCAGAGTACGTCTACCTCAGAGCCTCGTCAACACCGAGCTTATTATTCCCTATATTTAAACTCATCTTGATTTGGAGGAATGTCTCGTCTCACGTCTGTTTCCCTTCATGCTTGTGCTTTCACTCTGGTATGTGTTTTGTCCTGAGGGGCCACTCTAGTCCAAACTGGTGATTCACAGTTTAGTGGCACAAAGAAAGAAAAAGAAATCCTCGAGTCAGGACGGTAACGTTTGTGACTGACTGCATAAAAAAACACAAATAACATCAGCAGGTTCTTCTCACCTCAACTTTAGGATGGCGGATTCTTTATCCAAAAAACTCAGAAAATTACAGCGTTACAGCGAAAGTTACAGCAGCAAACACAAACATACAGCAGCTTCATAAATGATGTGAGTAAAAAGCTCAGTCTGAACTTTTTAAACAACCCTGTAAGCAAACTGAAGCGATCACATGACCGCGCTGACAATAGAAAACTGCGTTTCAATAACAGCAATGTTTGAGTTTATGTATTTCACTTTTATTTAACCAGGAGGAAAAAATGCTCTAGAGAGCAAAAACCTCTATCGCATCATCACAGCTGTGATCAGCACATATTCAGCCAAAAACAACAAAGAGCATCAAGTCAGCTGCTTGGTCCTGACTAAATGCTGGCAGGTCGTGTTTGAAGGCCAAGATAAGCCGTGAACAGGATTCATCCAGCATGAGCTCCAGCAACAGACAGACCGAAGGAGAGAACTTCCTCCACCTTTTTACAGGATGTAGGTCAGTCAGTGAGAACAGAGCGAGAAAGGTCAAAGGTCGAGCCTGTGGAAGGACGGACAAGCCGAGATCATCTAAATCAGTAAGTTTGCCACATAACACGACACAAATAGCTCCATAAAAGTTACAAATTCAGAGCAGGATAGAATAAAATCCAGAAGATAACCCAGTAGAGCTCTGCTCAGTAGAAACCACAGAAAATAGAATAAAAAGGAGAGTTTGTTTCCAGCTTCACAGAGAAACCGAACCTGAACCAAG